GCTCGTAAGAAGGCAAAAGTCTATGCAAGAGAGAAGAACAACAAAAAATATATATTTAATCAACCATGATGATATCATGAAAAACTCACCTTGGTCGATCAACGGACCTTGCAATGACAAACCCATCACAAGAAGGCCAACATGGCCAAGCCCCAAGGACTCTTATTGATAACGAGTTATAAGGGCTCTATAACTATAAATAAATAAATAAGAAAAAGACAGAAACATAAACAGACAAAAAAAAGAGTTAGTGCAATATGAAAATTTTGAACTTTGAAGGAGGTTTGAACCAAGAAGGCAAAAATGAACCGCATTGAGGTGTATGTGGTTTATGATAATATGAAGTAATTACAATTTATTTATGCTAGTCCTAATCGGGAACTCTACATTTTTCTAGAATTCACAATTCTCTCCTAAATCTATCGAAGACTCGAAGTAATAAAAGTTATAATTAAACTTCAAAAAAATATCCACTATTCATAACTTATTTATTGCACACAAATGTATATAATTATGTATGTACGAATTTCTGACACGTACGTTGTATATATATGTCCCATGCAAATAGTATATACAATAAGAAATTAAACATAAATTAAACTGCAATAAGTAATATAAATTTAAAATGAAAAATAAAATATGAAATCAACAAACATTTAATTGATGAGCGACAAGTGATTAGGTATTATCTAGACCTACGAAGTTAAACCACTGACACATACTTTCTTATAAATGATATTCTTGATTTATGTACCACTTTAATGATCCTGTTGCTCTATCATGACCATACACTATTACTTTTTTTGTGATTTAATTGAAAAATGTACAATTTTAACTAACAATATGTATGATTTAAGCATAAGTGTGTAGAACTCTTATTTATTTTGTGATGCAATAATCCAAGTAACTAAATTAAAATGATTGTAACACCAAATTAAATCTAGATAGCAAATATTGTATGTGTTACAGTCAAATAAAAGATCAGCTGGTGTTCAAAGGTATAGGAAATTCCTTGATAAGGAGCACTTCACTCTGAATGGGGTTCTATGCGGTGCGAATCCAGATTAATCTGACTCTAATGTAGATATCGACCCAAATAGGAAACCAAAAAATATACTTTTATAGGGAATTTAAAAAAGATTTTTCCAATGTATGAGATACATAGCTAATCAAACTGAGGCTTCTGCTGCATACACTTACTTTAATGAAGATATTAGCAATAAGCTTATTGGTAATAACTTTGCTTTTTACCAACTAGAATTAACATTATTTCCATAAACTAACTAAAATAATAATAGCTAATCATGACATTGTAAGATGTTAAGTAGTTACTATCCATTCAAATTATGAGAAGTTAATTTTTTATATCATCAAAATCACAATATATGATGTGAAGTGTATATAAATAGACATGAAGCAAACGTTTTTGCAGGTACAAGAACATCCATGGGGTGATGAAAAACTCCTAATCTTATCTGCATTCTTCATGTGAATCTGCATCAAAGTACCTGAAACCAGAAGGAAAGGAATAAGTAAAAGATAAAAATGTCACAAAAAATAAGATCTTTCTTGTCTAAAAACGCGGTATTTGTGATGTTTTTATTCAGTATAAACAGTTCAGTTGCAATATAGTAGTGTTAATGAAACTTATAGCAGTAATAATTTGGTTAAGTGGTTTAAAGCTATGGAGGAGGAAATTGCTATGTGCTAGAATGAAATCAAACATGGAAGCTCGTGACAAATCCAAAGGATGTCAAACCTATTTCTACTAAATTGGTCTACAAGATAAAGCATCACACAGATGGATCAATTGAAGGGTACAAGTCTTGTAGCTAGGGGGTTTGCTCAGCAATATGCATATGGACTAGACCACGATGAAACGTTTAGTCCAGTGGCAAGAGTCCTACTTGCACTTACAGCTAGTAAGGATTGGAACCTGTAAAAAATGGATGTGAAAAAATGCATTTCTGCATGGAGAGTTGGATATAATGAGATCTACATGTGTCAACCGACAGGTTTTCAGAGTCAAGATCACCCCGAGCATGAGTGTGAGCTTCGAAAGGTACTCTATGGATTAGAGCATGGTATGGTAAGATTTCTGAATTTCTTAATCATATTGGTTATTCGGTAGCACCAGAAGATTCCAGTTTCTTTGTGAAAATTGTTGGCAGAAAACTAGCTATTGTGCTAGTAAATATGGATGACCTTATCCTGACAGGAGATGGTGAGGAAGAAATTCTCCAAACAAAGGACAACTCGACCATTTTCTTGGCTTTGAGGCTGAATGCACTGAAGAAGGAATCTGTCTGCATCAGAAAAAGTATTCCAAAGATTTGCTGAAGAAGTTTGGAATGCCCAATCGCAAACCAATCTCAACACCAATGGAGCCAAATGCTAGATGTGTGTTTATGAAGGGAAAGACTTGAAAGATGCCACAATGTATCAACAATTAGTGGGTAGTCTGATCTACTTAACTTTAACTAGAGCCGACATCTCTTATGTAGTTGGTGTGATGAGTTGAAACATGCAAAATCCAAAGAAGCCTCATTTGGAAGCAGTTCAAAGGATTTTGAGATATGTCAAGTGTACACTTGGATATGGTATACTATACAAGAAAGGTAGAGATTGTAAGTTAGCAGTGCAGGTGATCATGATACTCGATAATCAACTGCTGGATATGTGTTTATACTTGGATCCAGAGCAATCTCTTGGTGTACCAAGAGGAAATCAACTGTGTTGTTGTCAACAACAGAAGTGGAATACCGAGCAGCAGCGGTGGGAGCTCAGGAAATCACTTGGCTTATACAGTTGCTGAAGGATTTGCATCAGCCAATGAAGTATTCAATTCCATTGTATTGTGATAACCAGTCTGCGATAAGGTTGGCGGAGAATCCAGTGTTTCACGCTAGGACTAAGCATGTGGAGGTACATTACCATATTCTTCGTGAAAAAGTTCTTGAAGAAGAAATGGAAATGGTGCAGGTCAAAACAGAAAATCAAGTTGCCGATATATTAACAAAACGCTCAACCAGCAGTTAGCTTGGAAGCTTCTGTCGTTCTCGGCGTCATTAAAAGGAAAGAAGCAAGAGTTGAGGGAGACTGTTAAAACACCTACTCCAGCTCCTTCTGTTTCATTTAATGTTCGACAGTAGAGTCTTTAGTTGTTAGTTAACTTTTTTCCTGTTGCTTAGTCAATTACTTAGTCAGTTACTTGTTCCTCAGAATATAATACCACTATTATTCTTAGTGCCCAGTGGAAGTTAATCCTATTCTTATGCTTAGGTTATTGTGTTAGTAACCAAGTATGATGACTGTATAAAAGGCCATCATTTACCATGAATGTATGTAACTCCCAAGTTAATTCATTAGCATATGAAAAGCTTCACAGATTGTTGCGTCTTGGGTATTCAACAGATACATCATTTAGAATCTTCAGAAAAATGCTTAGTGATGGTATGATAATGTACCTGTAATGAAGAATGGCATCAAAAATTCCTCTAACAGGTGTTCTTCGAAAACTAGCTATTGTGCTAGTATATATGGATGACCTTATCCTGACAGGAGATGGTGAGGAAGAAATTCTCCAAACAAAGGACAACTCGACCATTTTCTTGGCTTTGAGGCTGAATGCACTGAAGAAGGAATCTGTCTGCATCAGAAAAAGTATTCCAAAGATTTGCTGAAGAAGTTTGGAATGCCCAATCGCAAACCAATCTCAACACCAATGGAGCCAAATGCTATATGTGTGTTTATGAAGGGAAAGACTTGAAAGATGCCACAATGTATCGACAATTAGTGGGTAGTCTGATCTACTTAACTTTAACTAGAGCCGACATCTCTTATGTAGTTGGTGTGATGAGTTGAAACATGCAAAATCCAAAGAAGCCTCATTTGGAAGCAGTTCAAAGGATTTTGAGATATGTCAAGTGTACACTTGGATATGGTATACTATACAAGAAAGGTAGAGATTGTAAGTTAGCAGTGCAGGTGATCATGATACTCGATAATCAACTGCTGGATATGTGTTTATACTTGGATCCAGAGCAATCTCTTGGTGTACCAAGAGGAAATCAACTGTGTTGTTGTCAACAACAGAAGTGGAATACCGAGCAGCAGCGGTGGGAGCTCAGGAAATCACTTGGCTTATACAGTTGCTGAAGGATTTGCATCAGCCAATGAAGTATTCAATTCCATTGTATTGTGATAACCAGTCTGCGATAAGGTTGGCGGAGAATCCAGTGTTTCACGCTAGGACTAAGCATGTGGAGGTACATTACCAAATTCTTCGTGAAAAAGTTCTTGAAGAAGAAATGGAAATGGTGCAGGTCAAAACAGAAAATCAAGTTGCCGATATATTAACAAAACGCTCAACCAGCAGTTAGCTTGGAAGCTTCTGTCGTTCTCGGCGTCATTAAAAGGAAAGAAGCAAGAGTTGAGGGAGACTGTTAAAACACCTACTCCAGCTCCTTCTGTTTCATTTAATGTTCGACAGTAGAGTCTTTAGTTGTTAGTTAACTTTTTTCCTGTTGCTTAGTCAATTACTTAGTCAGTTACTTGTTCCTCAGAATATAATACCACTATTATTCTTAGTGCCCAGTGGAAGTTAATCCTATTCTTATGCTTAGGTTATTGTGTTAGTAACCAAGTATGATGACTGTATAAAAGGCCATCATTTACCATGAATGTATGTAACTCCCAAGTTAATTCATTAGCATATGAAAAGCTTCACAGATTGTTGCGTCTTGGGTATTCAACAAATACATCATTTAGAATCTTCAGAAAAATGCTTAGTGATGGTATGATAATGTACCTGTAATGAAGAATGGCATCAAAAATTCCTCTAACAGGTGTTCTTCGCAACCCAAAAAATGCTCCAACTGATCTGATAAGAAAGAGATAAAGCATTTGAGCCATTTTTCAAAGACAGGCAGTAAACAAAATACACTAAAAAAGTCTGATTGCTTCATGTACCAGCAAACCAGAAGAAAACACATACTAACCTAACTGCTTGGTTTTGGAGGTTGGTTAGACGAATCAAGGCATGTTGTAGACGGCACCACACGTGGTGCATGAGAGAGCTTTTCAAAAATATGACGGAGGCCCTCATGCTCAACCATGGATTCTAGTATGTTATCCTCTGACACAGAACATGAAGGATCCATCTTGGCTTCATGATCCCTAGACAAAAGAACATCTGAATGGTACTTTTTTCTCGTCTGCTGTTCAATCTTGTCAACCTCCCATTTTGATGTTACTGGACAGTAAACGTGCACAAATTTGGTCTGCCCATTCCTGTAAGCTCGACTGATGGCTTGCTGTTCTACTGAGGGATTCCAGAGAACGTCAAGCAAAACCACTCTTGAGGCCCCTATCAGACTTATTCCTTCTGAACAGGCTTTTATGGATGCAAGAAGCACTTTTACATCACTCTTAGGGTCATTAAGAGAATTTATAGATATCTGCCGCTGCTTCACATCAAGTTTCCCATCCATATAGAGAATCTCCCGACCTAAAGTCCAGCCAAAGAGAGAATTGAGTTGCTCCTTGATCAGGTTTAGAGGATCAAGTAACTGGCTAAATATTATAACCCTCTCCTTCCGCCCACCGCAAAGTCTGATAAGCTCAACAACAAATTTCATTTTTACTCCGGTATCTGGATCCAACCGACAGCCTCTTTCTGTTAGCTGACTTTCTAAGTCAGAGAACTCCTTCCTCTTGGCCACTAATGAAGGATGAACAGAGATAAGAGACACCAGATTTTGTTCATAAAAGGAGCTTGGATTCTCTGGAATCCTTCTAAGCAACTCCTTCTGCAAATCTGTGGGTTTCAAGTGAATTACAGTGTCCCTTATACCCGGAAGGCTTACCTTCTTTACATTTTCACTACACTTATGGACAAGTGGTGAAATAATATCCCTAAGCTCTTCCAATGCTCGGGCATTCTTGTCAATGGAACTGCTAAGAGAAGCCCATTTCTGCAGCAAACTTTGGACTGACTACACAAAGAGTGTTGTATAACTCCTTGATGTTATTCTGGAAAGGAGTTCCAGACAAAACTATGCGCTTCTCTGTTTCAACCTTTTTCAAAGCTTTCCAGACAAGGCTTTGCTCATTCCGAGCAGTGTGCCCTTCTTCAAGGACCAGAAGACCAGGATATTTAAGAAGGATTTCTCTAATCGGTTTAGCGTAACCGTCTCCATCATCTCCAGTAAGAATCCTGAACAAGTCATAGCTGATCCCCAAAACACTCTTACCTTTAACCCATGATCCCAGCTTCACCATTCGTATAAGGTGTGGATTTCTCTTTCCCGCATGGGGTAAACAGCGAAAGACACTCACAGTAGCTTCATCTTCCTGTAAAGAGAAATCTTTGCTGTTCAAGTTGTGGAAGGGAATGTCCACCTCCCATTTCTGGAACTCAGCTTCCCAGTTAAGCAGCAAACTGGAAGGAGCTATGATTACAGGTCGAGACTTTGGAAACAGCTTCAAATATGACTGAAGAAATACTATGGTGAGACGGGTTTTCCCGGTGCCAGGTGGATGTGAGATTATGCATCCTCCTTTGCTATCAGATAGGGGCTGTCTCAGCCTTTCGAGATTTATATCTCCAGCAACGTTTTTCCACATAAACTCAAATCCACCACGTTGATGAGGATACATTGTTGATTTGGCACTTGAGGGAACTAAATCCCACACAGTTCCTTCTTCATTAATCATAGGATCTTGGACTGCAGAAGAATCAGAAAATCTGAAGCCACCAACATCCAAGAGTGATGGCGACTGTCCTAAATGTTTTCTTTCATACCTCCCTCGAGTTCTCTGAGCCTGCAGATGACAGAAGTTTAAGAATTTAAGAGTCAAGATGACATAAGGATAGCATGTGGAAGGAAGTAACATATACTAGAGGAGTAAAGTAGTAAATTCACTAGTTAGTTACTGGGAGCAAATCCAATGACAAACTCAAGTAACTATAAAGTTCGCTATGTACAGCAGACAGGTGAAAAGTTATTCCCAAAGATAGTTCAGGAAAGGAGGCTTCTCATGCTGAATGTTCACAGAGGGCACAACCAGCGTTTGACTATGGTATCAACACAAATGTGAATGATCAGCGTAAAAATGCAGGCAGCATGGAGCAAGTTCAAACCCAACTAAGTCATGTTGAGGCTAGACTTTTCACACAAGAGCAGTATAATCACATAGTGCAGCTGCTGACACAACACACTCCTCAGATCAACAATGATCCAACCTCTTCACACATCTGCAACTGTGACAGGTATGATTGAACCTATGCCTATGATAGTCTTTCACAATCCTGATTAGATTGCGGACAAAAGGGCAACAAACCATATGGCTTCATACTTGAATTTGCTATATAAATCCTCAATTAATAAACTGAGCAATCCAAAGAAAGTGTAACTGCCTAATGGAGATGTGGCACAGGTTACACACACTGGATCAAGTACTATATCTGATGAGAGTACTATATCCAATGTGTTGTATATCCCACAGGTTAAGTTGAATTTACTTTCAATTTCAAAACTAACAAGAGAGTTGCGATGTTTTGTTTCCTTCTTTCCTGACTTCTTTGTTTTTCAGGATCTCTTCACTAGGAAGGTGAAGGAGATTGGTAAAGAGGACAATGGGCTATATTGGCCACTGTGTCAAGCTGCAGGAAAACCTATTAGCTTAGCTGCTCAAGAATCTAATGGTGTATCAAACATCAAACTGGAGCATTAGTCATTGGCACAAAAGACTAGGACACACTTCTACTTCAGTGCTTAGTAAACTGTTTGCTACTGATAACACTACTATTAGAAGTAAAATAATAGACTGTGTAGTATGTCCTTTTGCTAAACAGTGTAGATTACCTTTTCAATCTAGTAGCATAAAAAGTAGTTGTTTTGAAATGATTCATGTAGAACTTGAAATTGTGTTCCTAATTTTAAAAGAAAAAGTGCTTCACGGGACAAACTCGTATACTTACAAAAGAAGGGAAGATGTACTTGATCTCCAAATGCACATAAGAACAAACTTTACAGACGAGTCCAATTTGTTCATCTAGAACAAGTTGGTGGTTCCCCATCTGACAGTTACTTAAATCTCCACTCTGCATCGGCGAAATGGATGGATTTGTAAAGCCAATATCTGACTCTAAGATA